CATCTGACGTTTTTAATGTAAAATTTGCCGACGATACAGTTATTGTTGGTTTGATAACGGAGGATGAAATTAAATATCATGATTGTGTGGATGAGTTTGTTAACTGGTGTCGTGCAAGTTTTCTTCAGCTGAACACCAAGAAAACAAAGGAAATGATTTTTGATTTTAGGGTGGATAAAAGAACACACCAACATTTAGCTATTGACAATTATTGTATTGAAACTGTAAATGAATATAAATATTTGGGCACGGTCATTGATAACAAACTGACGTGGAACTCAAACACAAATGCTATTTATAGTAAAGGACTGCAACGACTATACTTTATGCGGAAGCTTAGACAGTTTGGTGTTGACAAACATATTATGCTGCTGTTCTATCGTTCCTTTCTAGAGAGTATTTTGACTTTTTGTTTTATTGCCTGGTTTTCTTCACTCTCAGTTGTCAATAAGAATTGCAGGTCAGAAGCAGTGCAGCATGACAGAGCTTTGTGAGTCCCGGGTAGCAGGAAAGGGACAGGCAATCCTCACTGATGTATTACATCCTCTGCATGGCGAGTATGAATTATTACCATCAGGACAGAGGTACACAGTGCCGCCTCTTAAGACTTCCCGTGCCCAGAGGTCCTTTATACCTTTTAGCATAACTCTGTTAAATAGAATGGGTGAACCTGGGTGATGCTATGTGGGCACTTTGGTTGTATCGTCTGTTGTATTGTTTGATGGATGTTTAAATTGTCTTTATTGTAATGTCCAATGAAATGAATTGTCTGAGGGTTTTGTCTGCAGTGTTAAGTGTTTGTGTTGTGGTGTCTTCATTGTAATGTTTTATGTATCTTTTTCTGTTTTTTTCTGACGGCCACAGACACAAGAAAAATTTCAGAAAGGACAATAAACAATATCTATCATCTATCATTTATTTGTGACGTTGTGACATATGAGAAGGTTCTGTGGGTATTGCTTGGTATTGAGGCTTATATAGTGAGGCTGGAAAAAAAAAAACCCTAATGCACAATTGGCTGATTATGTTTCTGTTTGCCTCACTATAAAAACCTCACGATACCTTTACCTGAGGAAAACCCTCTCAGAGTTGGCAACATCGGAAACAAGTGATACCTTCTTGGGGGCTTCAAAATTATTTTGTGTCCAGCTTATTCTTTGTTTTTCACTTTGAGCCCTTTTATCCAGTCACATTCTTCTGTGTTAAAACTAGACTGAGACAGAGCAGCAAACAAAGGGTACACTCCAAAATCTTCTCAGGCTCTGCTGCTGGGTGTAAGGTGCTTAGTTATCTTCAAGTACAAAGTTAAAATAATCAGGTCCACACAGAAATGGACTGCTTAATTATTTGTCTGTGTCAGTGTCAATGTTAAACATTAATGCTTTATGTTTTATCTGTAGTGTATGATTTGTTTGTCCTTTCAATTGACAGTCAGATTTGATTGTGAAATACAACATTCAGTCAGTAATAAAGACAAAAGGAGTGCAAATATAAATAGAATTTATTGAAATTTTAACCACAAGTTATAGATGAACTCTTAGAATGTTTTAAATAAAATGACATAGCAGAAAAATGTGCACAATATCTAATACTATAACATGTAAAAAAAAACAAACAAAAAAAAAACACTTAGTCAAAACAGACTGGGCCTGTGAAAGTGGTAACAGTCATGCCCAGCATGGGCCCAGAGAGCTGCAGAGTACATGGGTGGTAGGGGGAAAAGGGGATAAAGGGTGGGATTGGGATTGTAGGGATGAGGAAGAGCAGAGGTGGTAATAGTGTTATGGCTACAGATGTTTTTTTTTTTTTTAACCATTCAACCATTAGCCATGACAGCCTGGGCTATGTTCAGGTCTAACAAAATGTGTCCTAAAGGCCAAATTCAAAAGCTAGGAGGTTTGGAGGTGGTCTTTAAGACAATTGACTAATGTACTTAAAAACATATAATTTCCCCTAGGTGTGAAATTAACTCCATCTTTCAAAAATAGCCCAGGACTGTCATGTCTGATGTGAGGGTGCTCAATAATGGCACCATTTAAACTATGAGCAAATGTAGCCATAACACTGTTAACAAATTTCCTGGCCTTATAAATTTTTGCTGGATTGGCACCAGCCTCCCACCTGCACCTTTGGGTCAAAGAGGAAAATATTATCTTAATGCCTGGATGCTGGAGGTGAAGCTGGTGCAGGTCCTTCTTTATCATATTGACCAGCTTGACACTGCTGACCTCCTCCATGTCATTGCCGCCACAGTGGATAATGAGGACATCTGGTGCTGCTCTTCCTCACAGGGAGTGGGAAAATAAGGGGAGAAGGCCTCTCCACTGCAGTCCACCTCAGACACGGACACCTGGCATGCTGAGGTTGCTTCCCAAGGTCTCTGCAGCTGTCATAGCTGTCACCAATGATCCACACCGTACCTATGAAAGTAAAATGAGTGTAATAAATGCCTCAGGTAATGAAAAACAGAAAGTTAACTATATAGGGTGAATCAGTTCTTTTTGTTGACAATACCAATATACTAATACTATTATGTCACATCTGTAGGATAAAATAGAACAGGGAGCAACACCTCAAAATATAGATGACAGTCTTTTAAATGCTTTATTTTTGTCCTTGGAAGTCAATGTAATATTAGCTTAGCTGTCTAAAGTCAAGTAGCCAAAACTGGTACTTACAGTTTCTACTGTTAACTTTAATTAACATCTTCTAACAAGTATAACACTGCCTTTCCTTCGCAACTTCGACATTTCTTTATCATGTTCTAGATGATAATCTCGCACTGCGCTGTTGATAACAGTAATGTTAACGTTACACATAAATTTCAGTCCCCTTCGGACTTTTATCAATGTCAAAATCATAAATACGTACGCTGTTTGCAATAGCGGTGTGGGTACTAGGCTATAATCTTTAATGTCAGCCGTTATGCACACTGCGAATCCAACTACTAACTGTATGTGTTAATGTGACATCACATGTGACTTAGCTTATTAACATTATCTTATTCAAAGTATAATCAAGTGACATCCAAATAAACAACTCGTAACTAAAGTTACGTGAATATCTAAATTCAGGTCAATTGATTTGCTTCAAATTATTTGTTAAATATGTATTAAATAAACGTTACGCTGATTCACTGTAAAACTGGCCAAATTACTGCAAGTCTCGACAAAATCAAGTGTTGCAAATTAACGTACCAAAATTAACGTTATATATTTAAAAACACTGAAGCATTTTTAAGATCGTGTAGTAACGTAATCTCAATAACAGCTGAATCATTGTTTCAAGTTTTGTTGTATAATGTTAGTTTCAGGTAAACTCAACTTACCTCAAGTTTCATGAGGGAGCTAGCACCAAGCAGGAGCAGCCACACCAACACCACAGGGCTCGCCAAAGTAGCCTAGCTTGTTAGCCTTAGCTAACTTAGCAGCTTCGAGTGAGGTGGACGTGTTTAAGCAAACAGGCTTCATTTGGCCCGCCTCTTTGCCCATTTTTGATTGGCCGGGAGTTGGGCACTGCCAAGATGGCGATGGCCAGAGCCGCCTACTTTAAGCTTCAAAACCGCTCCTCAAAAACCAATGGGTGATGTCATGATGACTATGTCCATATTTTTATACAGTCCATGGTTTGAACCCACGGCCGCTGCATCAGGGACTGAGCGTCAGATCACGGGGTGTCCGTTCCATCCACTAAGCCACCATTACTCCGTGGCAACTTTGTTGATAATCAAGTCACTTTTCTTACGACCCGACAAACCGCTGTCTCACTTATGTGTTCAGTGTTTTTGATACCCTATTATAAAGAAAACTGCAGCTGCTTAAGGATCAAAGAGCAATGCATAAAATTTGCTCCGATGATAACGTAAATCCACGATGTGTAATATTTGATATATCTGGGTGGAACAGATTGTTAGATAAATGATAGACTGTGAGGTGAAATTGTATCTTTCATACAGACACTCCTTTGGGGAGACATCCAAACAGGGTCTAATCACCTTCTCCGTACGCAACAGCCTCTGAATAAACTGTGCCTCAACGTCCATGACTGGAGGGAAAAAAAGGAAAAGGAAAAGCCATGTTTCTCCTTCCTGCTATACACTCAGCCTCAGGCTTAGATGAAGCAAACCTGCAAGCCAGCAGGTTAGCTTTCCCGAGTAAGTTGCCATAGTAACTGACTCAGGGTTATGCTGAGCTGGCTTTGTGACACGGAAAACTCAGAGTTTTCTTCATCTCAGGCTAAACATACTCAGAGTTTTCATTAATCCTGCTTTCTGAAATAGGGCCCAGTTCTGGACTACTGTCTATCTTTCCTTTGCTGGCAGTGAAACACCATGAGCCATAAACGCATAAGACATTCACACTGAGCTGAAATGAAAGGAGTGCTCATAATTTTGGTAAAAAATCTTAAGTAAACAGTCTCATACTGTCTTTGTGCTGTTGGTTATGGTGGGTTGTGTTTCACTACAGACAGGGCTCAGCCCCTGCTCATACAAACATGGGAGCTCAGCTGAGTGGAGGAGAAAAGGAGAGCGGAGAATTGGAGACAGCTGCATTCCACATGTCTCTGCATGAAAGCTTCAGGAGTAAAAGCAGCTGTGATAGCTGACATAAAACAAAAGATTGGATCCTCTATATAGCTCAATATAGTCCATCACGATCAGTCAAAAAATGCCTTGATCAGCACTGATCCCAATTTTTAGTATTTTAACTTCACTTTAACTATAAATAGGTCATTATTTCATTTCATGGTCTCACAGGTTGTAATTATAGCATGTTGTGTAAATGATAGCTGGATACAAATCATCACATTAAAGTGAGTTGTAATAAGAGATCATTTAAAATTTGAAAATCATAAGCCATATACATATACCTACTGAAACCTGAAGAGTGACTTGCTGTCTGTCTCTCTAACCTTTAAAAGAACACAGTCTGTGCCTCATAAGCACACTGTTCATCATCAGTGAACCCTGCTGACTGAACAGCAATGTCAGACCAACTTACAGTTGTCAAAACAGATGCGTCCGATGGCCCTGCCAGTGTTCAGCAACATCTCCTGGTTATTGCTGTTCAGATGGGGAACCAGCACCTTCACCAGGCCTGCCTCAATGCACGGCTCCCTCACTGCAGCTACAACACACACAACAGTAAGACGTTGGAAATATAAGCCTTAATATACAGTAGTTTCACATTAAAGGTCCACTGTGAAGGATTTAGGGGTGTCTAGTAGCAGAAACGGTATAAAATATTCATAACTATGTATGCTATCATTTATTATCACTTGAAAATAATTGTGTTTTTGTTACTGTAGAATGGAGAGGGTTCTCTCCAGCAGAGACCGCAATCTTGATCTATAGTAGTCCACAAGGGAATAATCAAAAAACAGCTGTAGATAGGGCCATTCATGTTTTCTTGTCAGCACTTGTAGTCCCCCTACATGTTTAGCATACAGGAGAAGTTTCAGTTCTGTGTCCTCACCATTAAATGCCCCTAAATCCAAAACACTAGACCTTGCCATTTGGTGGTTAGCTGTTACCAGGCCATTAAATGACAGTTATCAGTGGTTATAAGCATAATAGCTATGGGTTAAGCCTGTTATACACTGTGCAATTTTGGGCTGTCCCATATGAAACATGACCAACATGAAAGAAAGGTGGCGTTATCTTTGGTCATGGCTCTTAAACGATGGTCCTATGTCGCACAGTGAAAGAGGTTTAAGGATGGTCGTTGTCACAGTCTTGCGATCAAAGACAGCCTGGGATACATTTCTGACAGTGTCAGGCCCTCAGGCCCCTTTATTTCCATATTTCTACTTGTTCACCTGATGCCCTTATACTTTTCCATCTGGCCTAGTCAGTCACCTGACTCCTGCATCCAGCTGCTCCCTCCTGCCCTGCAGTAACCTCTTTCCATCACCTGACCAGCACATTTCCAGCCTTTGTTTCTGCCTGTCTGATACTAGCAGCCCAAGGGACTCATAATTCTCTACTTAACCCTGATCTGGATATGTTTACCTAGTAAACATGAATTTTAAATTCAACCTGACTATCGGTGAATTGTACTTCTGAATTCAAGCTTGCTGTTTGAGCCACTAAATTTGAACATTTACAATGCCATGACAACTGGGCAAACTCATCTGCTGAGCGTTGGTGATAGGAGAAATCCCTCAAAGCTACACATATACTGATGTAGCAGCTATATAAAATATTCAAAATATTCATATTCAGATAAAAAAATTAAATTGCTTTGTTTTATTTACAGCTGAAAGGTTGCAAATGCTATTCAAGAAGGTAACATCTGTAGCAGTATCCTACCTTCCCTGGCCATCTCTGCTACCACCAGAGCCACCTGGCAGCTCAGGTGGCTTTTACTCCGTAAGGCCTGAGCCAGTGTGGGTAAAATCCCGCTTCTGGCAATCTCCACAGCAGCATCCTTTTCTGTTGACACCCAAATTTATTAGATCAACATGACAGCAATGACAGGATGTAGAATCACAGCACATACTAAAAATATGCAAAGGTAGTTTTGGCTTAAAGTTTTCAGTTTACACAGGAAAGCCCAGATGACTTCAAGTCACAAAGTATGTGACTCACAAAGACTGTGATGAGTGAGTGGTTTCATTAAAAATACACTGTCACAGATGTCTTTTTGTTGGTGGCCTCCTGATCATTTCTTTACTGCCACCATCCAACTGTCTGTTTCAACCAATATAATCGATACCCTTACACCAATTATTCAATAAAGTATAAACACAAAATCAATGTAAAGCACCTTTTAGACATGTACCATGTTAGATATATGTAATGGTAATTTTACGTGTTGGTCACATGCCTGAGAAGAGTTGGAGCACTTTGAAAAGTCATCCTGATAATTCAGCTGTATTCAGCTGTAAGTGTAATGCTTTAAGATATAGAGTTAAACACTGTGGTCCTACTTATCTGACATTTCATTATATGTACTTTGTTGCTTTGCTATTATCTTTGATAAACCAAATCTACCAGCACAGCAGCCAAACAATGTACTAAAACATATTTGAGCCACCTAAAAAATCAATATCACTCTAACTGTGCACTATATTTGAATATTCACTTTACCTTACACACTAACCAATTGAGGCCACAGTAGACCAGCAGCTCAGTGTTCTGCTAAGTAAAATTACTGTTTTTGTCAACGGACTCTGGTGGCTTTGATATACAACTTCAATTCCCCAACAGATAGGCTGAGGTAAAGCGATGAAAATATTCTAAATATAGCATACACTTACACTGATACTGAGTTTTTTAAAGTTGGTCTTTTTTTAGATGGCTAAAAACAAACTTACTCAGCATTTGTCCAGCACTGTTTGATTTTATGTAAGTATATGACTTACTCTTTTCCAAAAGACTAGCCAGCACTGTGTCCAAATGAGGCTTGAGCTCCTCATCAATCAACTCCGTACTCACACTGATAGCCTTTAGTGCCTCGCTCAGAGTATCTGCAAGACACACATAAACATACACAATCACAACCAGCAACAACAATTAAGAGTCTGATAGCATCTGTCATATCCCATTTTAATAAACTCTCATACATGAACACTTAATTTTTATTTAAATCAACAATAGCAAAAGTATATCAAATCAGCAGGAGGCACCTGAGGAGCAGTCAATGGTGTTTGCATGAGAGCTATGTTTTCATCAACCCTATGCCAGACGAAGCACTGACATTGATTAATTCCACAAAATTCAAGTTGTTATGTTAAACCTCTCAAGTGTTAAATGCAGTATTTGAAACTATACCTAAATAACCAGTTTGTACTGAAACCACAGGTTTAAATATAACCTTTGAAATATAGTGTTGCTGCCTTACTAGTTAGATAGTTTCTGCAGAAATTTGACATGCTAGACTTTACAAAATTTGTTACCATCTTAATTTATTTTTTGAATTTGAGATTAGAATCAAGTGTTACACCAAGATATTTAAAATCAGATACCAATGTCAGCTTTTCTCCTGCAACAATTCAATTCAATTTTATTTATAAAGCCCAATATCACAAATCACAATTTGCCTCACAGGGCTTTACAGCATACAACATCCCTCTGTCCTTATGACCCTCACAGCGGATAAGGAAAAACTCCCCAAAAAAAACCCTTTAACAGGGAAAAAAAACGGTAGAAACCTCAGGAAGAGCAACTGAGGAGGGATCCCTCTTCCAGGACGGACAGACGTGCAATAGATGTCGTACAGAACAGATCAGCATAATAAATTAACAGTAGTCCGTATGACATAATGAGACAGAGAAAGAGAGAGAGAGAGAGAGAGAGAGAGAGAGAGAGAGAGAGAGAGAGAGAGAGAGATGCAGGTAATGACAGTAGCTTACAACAACATTATTGAAAGTAATAATATTATAGTTATAGTTCTGGCTACTGTGGTACAATATGTTGAAAGTATGTATTAATATCTGGCAGTATACATGTGTGACAATAGTCGTATGTGTATAATAACAGTAGAAGTATGACTAATGATGGCAGCGGCAGCAGGAGGCATCTGGCAGGACCACGGCAGCAGCACAACCACACATGTCATGCTGTCCAGGCACCGCTGCGATATGAGTTAATCTGAGAGACAGTGGAGCACAAAGGCTCCGGAGAAGAAGCCGAGTTAGTGACATCCAGAATGGCCGAGTTAGCAAGATGCAGTAATAGAATACGAGAGAGAGAGAGAGAGAGAGAGGAGAGAGGGTGCCCGGTGTATTATAGGGGGGTCCTCCGGCAGACTAGGCCTAAGTCAGCCTAACTAGGGGCTGGTACAAGGCAAGCCTGAGCCAGCCCTAACTATAAGCTTTATCAAAGAGGAAAGTCTTAAGTCTAGTCTTAAATGTGGAGATGGTGTCTGCCTCCCGGACCGTAACAGGAAGATGATTCCACAGGAGAGGAGCCTGATAGCTGAAGGCTCTGGCTCCTGATCTACTTTTGGAGACTTTAGGGACCACGAGTAACCCTGCGTTTTCAGAGCGCAGTGTTCTGGTGGGATAATATGGCACTATGAGCTCTCTAAGATATGACGGAGCTTGACAATTTAGAGCTTTATAAGTTAACAGTAGGATTTTAAATTCAACTCTGGATTTTACAGGGAGCCAGTGTAGAGAAGCTAAAACAGGAGAAATATGATGTTTCTTAGTTCCTGTTAGTACACGTGCTGCTGCATTCTGAATTAGCTGGAGAGTTTTTAAGGACTTACTAGAGCTACCTGATAATAGAGAGTTACAGTAATCCAGCCTAGAGGTAACAAAAGCGTGGACCAATTTTTCTGCATCTTTTCGGGTCAGGATAGGCCTAATTTTTGCACTATTACGCAGATGAAAAAATGCAGTTTGTGAGGTTTGTTTTAAATGAGAATTAAAAGACAAATCTTGATCAAATATTACTCCGAGGTTTCTTACGGTAGTGCTAGAGGCCAGAGCAATGCCATCTAGAGAAACTATGTCATCAGATAAAGAGTCTCTGAGTTGTTTGGGGCCAAGAACAATAACTTCAGTTTTGTCTGAATTTAACATCAGGAAATTGGTGCTCATCCAAGTTTTTATGTCTTTAAGGCAGTTATGGAGTTTAGTTAATTGATTACTTTCTTCTGGCTTCATCGATAAATACAACTGAGTATCATCTGCATAACAATGGAAATTTATAGAGTGATTTCTAATGATGTTACCTAAAGGAAGCATATATAGAGTAAATAGGATTGGTCTGAGCACAGAACCTTGCGGAACTCCAAAACAAACTTTGGTACGTAAGGATGATTCATTATGAACGTCAACAAACTGAAAACGATCAGATAAATAAGATTTAAACCAGCTCAGTGCAGAACCTTTTAGGCCAATTAAGTGATCCAGTCTCTGCAGTAGAATTTGATGGTCAATTGTGTCAAACGCCGCACTAAGATCTAATAAAACAAGTACAGAGACAAGTCCTTTGTCTGAAGCAATCAGAAGGTCATTTGTAATTTTAACTAGTGCTGTCTCAGTGCTATGATGCACTCTAAATCCTGACTGAAATTCCTCAAATAAATTATTATCATGGAGAAAATCACACAGCTGTTCTGCGACTACTTTCTCAAGGATCTTTGACATAAAGGGAAGATTAGATATTGGTCTATAGTTGGCTAACACCTCTGGATCCAGGGTGGGCTTTTTTAGTAGAGGTTTAATTACAGCTACCTTAAAAGACTGTGGTATATAGCCTGTTAATAAGGATATATTGATCATATCTAATATATGAGTGTTAACTAAAGGAAAGACCTCCTTAAGTAGCCTAGTTGGGATGGGGTCTAAGAGACACGTTGATGATTTAGATGAAGAAATCACTGCGGTCAATTCTTGAAGAGAAATTGGGGAGAAGCTAAATATATATTAGGTTTTACAGCTGTGTTTGAGGTTAGATAGGTACTATCTGAGGACAGGAGGTCATGAATTTTGCCTCTAATAGAATTTTGTCATTAAAAAAGCTCATAAAATCATTACTGCTAAGGGCTAAAGGAATACAAGGCTCAATAGAGCTTTGACTCTCAGTCAGCCTGGCTATAGTGCTGAAAAGAAACCTGGGGTTGTTCTTATTGTCTTCTATTAATACTGAGTAATAGTTTGCTTTGGCATTGCGGAGGCCCCTCTTGTAAGTTATGAGACTGTCTGTCCAGATTAAATGAGATTCTTCCATTTTGGTTAATCGCCAATTCCTTTCAAATTTTCGTGATATTTATTTACGGGTCTGAGAAAGCAGGCTAGTAGAATTCACCAGAGCAGTATAGAGACGCTGTCACAGAAACACCGGAAATGACACAACTCGCTTACCGCAATACGTCAGCACGTCCACATGAATGAATGAATGAAACATTATTTGTTGACCTCTTAGTGAAGAACATAACTGTTTTCTTTATGTTAAAGTGAAGATGTGAGTTATTAAGCCACTGTGTGACATGGGCCATTACTGCCATGAGTTTAGATGCAGCTTGCTGTTTGGTCATTGCATGTACATTAAATTACAGTATCGTCTGTGTACAGTTGAATGTCAGACTCATGGCCTCCAGTGGGAAGATTATTTATGCAGATACTACAGCAGGGGCCCCAAAATTGATCCTGATACCAATATCATTCTTTCTTTTGTTTTGGAAATACCCTCATCTTAAACACAGGATGATTGCAATTTTCAGGCATCATACTTAGTAGATTGATAGAGGGGCTTTATATCAGTGTCCATGCTGATTCCATATCGTGCAAATTGAATTTTTTTTTTTTTGCTATTTGGGCTTCATCTTGAGTAGTACTGCCATTAACACACAGTTCAAGGTGTTTTTATTAGCATTATGTTTTCCTATTAACCACTCTAAGTTTTCCCAACTCCATAATTCCAAGGGAAATTTGGAATTCCCCTTTGTTTGGTCAGTGATATTAATGAAAAATTTTGCTTTTGCTTTCTCTCATCAGTTTAGGTATGTAACCATTTAATCATGGGAGAACTTTTTTTGTCTGTTATTGGGTTAAGATTTCTTAAAAAAATATTCATTATACCTTGTATTGTGGACAAAAAGATCTGACAGTCAGATTCAACATCAGATTAACACTAGAATATTATTCGATTTAATCCCTTTAATTGCATTTTCAAAGTTATTTTGTTCTCCCTAGGGTATTTTCAACTGACTGGGCTGTCTTAAGATAAGATAAGATAAGATAAGATAAGATAAGATAAGATAAGATAAGATAAGATAGGATATACTTTATTGATCCCCCATGGGGGAAATTCAAGTATCACAGCAGCACAAGACGAAATCAAAGAACATTAAATAGAATAAGATTAGGGAGAAGAAATAAAATGTAAAAGATAATAGATAAAAAAAAGATAAAATAAAATTGCTACATTACAATACAAATATTATTATTATAACAATTATTACATTACAAGGACAGACACTTTTTGGACAATTTCCCAACTGCAAGGGTCAAGTTATGATCGGATAACCCAGTGATCATACTGAATGCTTAGCATTGTTTAATAAATAATTGTTTAATAATACCATAAACTATCTTAATAAGAAAAACATATATAAAATAAGATGTTATATAGAACAATGTCAAAAAAGTTAAATGAGAACTACGAGTTTGTCTCCATTACTGCATGACGATATGGCCCAAGTATCATCCTATTTATAAAAGACAGGAATTTGTTCACTTAGCAGCGTCACTTATCCAATCCACACTGCCTAACCAGCAAAATATGTGTTAATCAATTTCCAAAACCCAAACCAACCTGCAAACCGCAAACTTTATGCATTATGGTAGCACAACTGTGTTGTAGTGAAGACTGAGACAAGGAGACAGACACAGACTAAGCACTGCGGTGTGTGTGTTTGTGTGTGTGTGTGAACTTGACCAGTATACTGCTTTGTCACTTTTAGATATTCAATGTTTTGATATATTTCTAGTAAGCTTACTCAACCTCAACCAAA